GGGGAAAAAGAAGGGGGGCATTGCGATTAGCATGTATAGTGTGGGGGGCGTGGGGAGGGCTGTGCAACACAGAGAAGACAGGTAGTGATTCTACAGCATCTTACTACGCTGATGGACAGTGACTGTGAAGAGGTATGTGGGGGGAACTTGGTAAAGGGGGGAGCCTAGTAAACATAATGTTCTTCATGTAATTATAGATTAATGATACCAAAAAAAAAAAAAACCCCTGCAACCTGAAGTGTTAGATTTGAAAGTCGTAAAATACAAGAAAGTTATAAAGTACAAGAAAAAGAGCGAACCATCCTGGAGATCAGGCTGAGAGCAGCAGCCACAGCGGAATCCCTCCTGAGGTTCCTGCAGGGCTCCCGCCATGGGTAAAAGAGGCGAGACCCGCAGCCTCGTGGGTGAGCCTTCTCGTAGAGGCCCAGGGCCCTGTGGGAGAGGCTGTGTGGGGCAGAGGGCCATCTGTGCAAAGTGTGGCCCATTATCTAAAAATGTGGTGCTTCTGTCTTTTCTCTCGTAGGCGTGTTTCCTTAGAGACGTTGAGGACAGGGGTAAAGATGGAGCTCAGGGACACCCACAGGGCCCCCACCTGCCCCGACTGGCCTTTCAGTCGGCCCTTCCCAGGTAGAGCTACTTGATTGTTTGCCAGCTGTAACTCCAACTAAGTGGTTACATTTCTCCCCTCTTTTCTTGAGAGACATTGTTAGAAGGCATTAAGGGACAGGAAAGGAGCTATAGGTGTTGGGGGGTGCTGTGTATGTGTAGTCGTAAACAATTTTACACAACTGAGACTGAACATCATACAATTAGTGTAAATCGTCTTAACTGGCCAGCTACAGGGAACGACTTTTCAGATTGGGCCACAAGATAAAACCCAACTCTGTTGTATTCAAGAAACCCACCATAACTAAGTGTACAGGAAAGGTTAAAATGTGGCCAGTGCCATTGTGTACCAGGAAAATGCAAGCAAAAATAAGGCAGCAGTCACATCTTAATATCAGACAGGAGAGAATCCAGGCCAAAAAGTATTAAGCCAAACAGAAAGGTCACTTTGTAACAGTGAAGGTACAACTCTCAAGCAAGATGAAATGGTCAAAAATAACTATTCACCAAGTACCAGCCATGGCTTTCATAAAGCAGAGCTGAAAGGCTTCACCCACTTCTCAGCTCCAGACAAATCAGACTCAAGAGCGCGGTAACTGCATCTTAGGAATGGGTGTGTGTGTAGATGATACACTGATGTGACATATAGGTAATATGTTCTATGTTGATGATAGAGAATGCACCTTCTTTCCAAAAGCCCATGGAACGTGACCATGTTATGTCACAAACAAAATTCTAAGAAAAAATGTGAAAATACATAAATAAAGTCAAGAGCATTGATTAAAAATGCAATGAGTCTATGAATTAATAACTATCAGAAAAGAAGAAGGTTCTGGTACCTGGAAATTTAATAGCCTCTATTAAAAATCCCTTGGGATGAATGTATATAATACAAAATTGTAGAACTTCTTTGAAATGATAACAAGCATATGTATATATGTGGATGTATGGGATATATTTAAAATAGTGCTCAAGGGGAAATTTTATAGCTTTTAATTAAATCAACAAAAATAAACCGAAAAGCAATAGTTGCATCTCTAACTCAAAAGGATAGAAACAACACTGAAGTTAAGAAAGCAGGAGGAAGGAACTAATAGGGGGAAAAACAGAAATTAACAGCTACAGAGCAGAAAAACTAACACAAAAAATAAACACAGAAGTTTGTTCTTTAAAAAGTCAAGAAATCAATATCTAGCCTAATGAAGTGAAAAATAAAGGGAGAAAATACAAACACAAAAGAAATTACAAGGGGAGAAAATCCCATAAGGAGGTAATTAAAGAATGTTTGGCACAATTTTGTGAAAATAACCCTAAAGCCTGGAAGAAATGCTTTTTTAGGAACACATAATTTACCAAAACTAGCCATAGGTAAAATAGAAAATCTAAACAGGCTAAATTTTAAGAGATGTCAAAGAGTTACCCAGGCTCAAAAAAGCACCAGGCTCTGGTGATCTGATGGAACATTAGCGAACACCGAGGAGCAGATGGTCTGAATGGGATTTAAATGCTCCAGAGCATAGAGGAAGATTTCCCAATTGTCTTTATAAACCAAATAAAAATTTATACCAAAATCTTATTTACATAAAAACTCTATACCCATCTCTTTTATGAACAATCCAAAAGTCCTTAACCACACAGAATGCAAGAACACATTGAAAAATCACATCACAATCTCGTGGATTGATCTCACTAATGCATGGGTGGTTCAATATTAGGAAATCTAGTGACCTAATAAATCATGTTATTAGATGCAAAGGAGAAATAAAAACATTTTCATAAATGCTGCAAAGGCATTTGACCAAATGTAACCCATTTCTAAATACAGTCAATAAATCAGTAAGTACTTCTTTAGTATGATAAAATATATTTATCAACCTAGAAAGGGTGTCTTAACCTGATGAGGGTGCACCCTGCAGGCGTTCAAGTGAGAATCAGGAATAAGAGAAGGATGACTTTCAATAACATCCTATTTAATGTTATAGGAGGGACTTCCATGTGCAGCAGTGATGGGCTGGAGAATGACATCTATCCTCCTGAAGAAAATAACTCACAAAGCTAGACAAATATAAACACCCGGAGAGTAAGCAGCTTTTAGGGCTGAAAGCTGGGAGAGGGTGGAGACCCAGAGAGGGAGCCAGATGGGAGGGCTGCTCCAGCTCGGGCAGAGCTCGGGGTCCCCGGACACCTGACAGGCTGGGCTAAGGCTCTTACGGCTGGGGGACAAAAATCAAATGGAGAGCATGACAAAGTTGGGGTCCCAGGCAGTTCACTCTCCACTTTGGAGTCCCCAAACCACGAATAAGGGTGACCTAGAAGTCAAGCAGCTCTCTAATATGGGTGGCCCAGAGGACTTCAGAACTGGAACTTGGGATAAGATGACCTAGGACTTCTAGTGTTTCAAGGAACCTAGCATTGCAGACAAAATCCTTTCCTGGAGGAAGATAATAACTTAAGCTTCAAATTACTTCTATAATAATTCCTAAATACAAAGTTAAGTATACAATCAAAGATAACGAGGTACATGAGATGAAGCAAAATGAGAATTAGCAGACACTTCAGACAAAGAGACACAGACCCTCAGGGGTTCTAGATAATGGAAACACATGAGACATGGGCTGACTCGTAAACAACTGCTGCTTGTGTTCAAGAAAACTTGCAAAACTGGAAAATATGGGAAGGGAACAGGGAACACCTGGCCAGTCATGCAGCAAGGGCAGATTTCAGGCTTTGGGGAATGGATTTGCTGAAAAGAACGCCCTCACCCCAGGCATCTTTCACCAGGGGGGCTTGCATTCCAGAACTTCCAGAACTGGTATCAGCCAGCCTGAGAGCTTTTCCTGCTGAGCAGTCTACTGCTAGATCACTGGACAGGATCCCTAGGGTTCTCCTGTTAGCAAGCTGGCTTGTCCCTCCTTACACACCCTGAGATGGCACAGTGAGATCACACAGAGCCAAAGACTAAGACAAAATCTTAAAAGCAGCCAGAGGGGAAAAAAAAGACACAGTATCTTCAAGGGAGCAACCATTATATCAACAACTGACTTCCCAACAGCAAGAATGAAAAGCAGAGGATAGTGATGTCCAGATCTTTAATCTGCAGACAGAAAATATCTGCCAACTTTGCATTCTGTATCAAATCGGAAATCCACTAAGAATGAAGACAAAATAAAGTCATGTTTGATAAACAGAAACAGAGATTTCAGCAATGGGTGATCTGCTCTAAGAGAAATTCTGAAGGCTGTTTTCAAGGCAGAAGAAAATGACCCTAGATGGAGATCAGGGGGGCAGGAAAGAATGAAGAGTAATAAAAATGGTAAATGGGGGAATCAATTTGAACAAATGTAGACTTTCAAAACAATTACTATGTCTATGTCTTTTGCAATATGTGTGTGAGTTTATGTAGAATTAAAATACATGGCAGTAATACCCTCGGGGGGAAGGGCTGTGGGCCACCAAAGTGCCCAGGGGTTGTTGGTCCACTCATCTTGCTCCTTGTGGCCTTGCTTCACTTTTCCATCTTTTCTGGCATGCCCCATCCACCATGGACTCCCACCTGGTTTTGGATTCAGGGTGGGTACCAGCCCCTCAGCCAGAGTGTACCCCATTTGTTGCTTTAAATATCTCCATCTCTTCCTGGGCAGGATCAGCCATGAGTGTGTTGCTTTCATTTTCAGCTCCCCACCTAAACCTATTCTTTTCCATTTTTTCCTCTGAAAAGTTCATTGCTGAAGGTCTGAAAAACACAGAAAAGCACACAGATTAAGATGTAAATTGCCTATACTTGCTCTGCCCTGACATAGTCACTGTTTCTTTTCTACATATGTGTGTTGTTTTCTTTTCTTTTTTTTTAAAGAAGAGGGGAGTCATGCTATACATCATAGTGTAGTCTGCTAATGAACTGCACACCTTGCCACGTGTCATGAATGCTCTTCTAAAACAGGATTTTAATGACTGCACAGTTTTCTGCCATATGAATATATCATGATTCGTTTAGAAAATCTCTGTCCAGCCCTTATGTTGTTTCCTTTGTTTTTTTTCTTCGATATCATTAATGTACAATTACTTGAACAACATTATGGTTACTAGACTCCCTCTATTATGAAGTCCCCACCACATACCCCATTACAGTCACTGTCCATCAGAGTAGTAAGATGCTGTAGAATCACTCCTTGTTTTCTCTGTATATACTGCCCTCCCCATGCTCCCCCCCACATTATGTGTGCTAATCATAATGCCCCTTTTCCTCCTTATCCCTCCCTTCCCACCCATCCTCCCCAGTCCCTTTCCCTTTGGTAACTGTTAGTCCATTCTTGGGTTCTGTGAGTCTGCTGCTGTTTTGTTCCTTCAGTTTTTTCTTTGTTCTTATACTCCACAGATGAGTGAAATCATTTGATACTTGTCTTTCTCTGCCTGGCTTATTTCACTGAGCATAATACCCTCTAGCTCCATCCATGTTTTTGCAAATGGTAGGATTTGTTTTCTTCTTATGGCTGAATAATATTTCATTGTTTATATGTACCACATCTTCTTTATCCATCCATCTACTGATGGACACTTAGGTTGCTTCCATTTCTTGGCTATTGTAAATAGTGCTGTGATAAACATAGGGGTGCATCTGTCTCTTTCAAACTGGGCTCCTGCATTCTTAGGGTAAATTCCTAGGAGTGGAATTCCTGGGTCAAATGCTATTTGTATTTTTTTGGTTTTTTGGGGAACCTCCATACTGTTTTCCACAATAGTTGAACTGATTGACATTCCCACCAGCCATGTAGGAGGGTTCCCCTTTCTCCACATCCTTGCCAACATTTGTTGTTGTTTGTCTTTTGGATGCTGGCCATCCTAACTGGTGTGAGGTAATATCTCATTGTGGTTTTAATTTGCATTTCTCTGATAATTAGTGATGTGGAGCATCTTTTCACGTGCCTGTTGGCCATCTCAATTTCTTCTTTGGAGAAGTGTTTGTTCAGATCCTCTGCCCATTTTTTAATTGGCTTATTTGTTTCTTGTTTGTTGCGGTGCATGAGCTCTTTATATAATTTGGATGTCAATCCCTTATTGGATATGTCATTTATGAATATATTCTCCCATACTGTAGGATGTCTTTTTGTTCTACTGATGGTGTCCTTTACTGTAGAGAAGCTTTTTAGTTTAAATAGTCCCACTTGTTCATTTTTGCTTTTGTTTCCCTTGCCTGGGGAGATATGTTCATGGAGAAGTTCCTCATGTTTATGTCCAAGAGATTTTTGCCTATGTTTTTTTCTATGAGTTTTATATTTTCATGACTTACATTCAGGTCTTTGATTCATTTTGAATTTACTTCTGTGTATGGGGTTAGACAATAATCCTGTTTCATTCTCTTACATGTAGCTGTCCAGTTTTGCCAACACCAGCTGTTGAAGAGGCTGTCCTTTCCCTGTTGTATGTCCATGGCTCCTTTATCATATATTGACCGTATATGCTTGGATTTATATCTGGGCTCTCTATTCTGTTCCACTGGTGTATGGGTCTGTTCTTGTGCCAGTACCGAGTTGTCTTGATTACTGTGGCTTTGTAGTAGAGCTTGAAGTGAGGGAGCATAATTCCCCCTGATTTATTCTTCCTTCTTAGCACTGCCTTGGGTATTCATGTTTCCATTGTTTTGTCCTCAATGTTGCTGTAATGAATGACCATTCTCACATACATGATTTTTTCCTAGAGTCAATTACTGGAAGTGTCAAGCTGTCATGAGAAACGTGCTCACTGGTCCAAACTTAGTCAAAGAGAACAGTGGAGTGAGGCTTTAATGACGGACGTGCAAGATTGGGTGTCTGGTGAGCAGGCATAGTCAGGGCCGTTAGAAGAAGCAATTTATTCCTTGGCATGTGAGTCCCTCTCCTGGTTCGTCATTGGCTGAGTACTGCAGGTTTCACAGTACTTTTCTTTTTTCAAAGAGGTGCACAGCCCTCACTTTCTTATCTTAATCTCCCTCCCCTCCCAGCCGGTGTGACTCCCTGGTACGTATTCTGACATGTAGGCTTCTTGTTAATACCCTTTTTTTGAACATTAATTTCTCTTGGAATAAATTACATGTAGTTTTATTCCATTTCTAACACTGTTCAGGGACTACATCTGTTTGTAAGGCTTTGGAGACACCAGGCCAACTGCCTGCCCAGCCATGTTAATTTTCAATTATTCTGTTTTGGATTATGCCAAACTTTACTCTGAATAAAAAATAAATCTGCTTTCTTCACAGTCCTTTCCATTAAGATATAAGATTTCTTGTCAGGATTATAGTAAATTCTAGACTTTCTTCCTGCCGCTGAAGCAGCCATGATCTGCTGGGACCATATAAGGTCTCAATGATTCATTACCTCTCCCAACAGGTAAGAATTTGGTTTAGAAGCATATAAACAGAACAATCAAAGTGACAGTGGCTTTAACAGTATAGAATTATATTTCATAGTACATGAAAATTCGTGAGAAGTGCAGAAATGGGAAGGTGGCGCCGGATTGGCACTTCTGCCCAGCCATCTGGGCCCGCCCCCTTACAGCTTCAGCATCGCAGGATGTGGCTTTCATTCGTGAGTAGATCCCCGTTCCAGGCAGCAGGAAGACCACAGGTGTTCCCCTTCCTTTTAAGGAGACTTTCTAAAAAACAAACCTCACTTCTGCTTGTATCTCATTGGCCAGAACCTTTAGTCCAATGGTTATAGCCAGTTAAAAGCAAGGTTGGGAAATGTAGTATTTTAACTAAATGGAAAAATGCCCAGATGAAAACAGGTCGTATTACTGAAGCAGTTCAAAGTGGCCATTAGGAGGTAACTGTACCAATTGTTATGGGCTGAATTGTGTCCTCCCCAAATCCTTATGTGGAAGCCATAACCCCAAGCGCCTCAGAATGTGATTATATTTGGAGATGGGATCTTTAATGACATAATTAAGGTAAAATGAGGTCACTAGTGTGGGCCCTGATCCAGTAAGACTGGTGTTCTTCTAAGAGGGTATTAGGACACACATGTGCACAGAGGGATGATCACATGAGGTCACAGGGAGAAGACAGCCATCTATGTGCCACGGGGAGAAGCCTCAGTGTGACCAGGTCGTTAGGTACAAAAAGGATTATTGGGGAACTTATAGCTAAAGTTAACATTCTCTGCGAAGTTGTTTCGCAGAACAAGATGTTCTGATAAGAGCAGACCTCAGGAGGGTATAATAGTTGACAGTTGCTATTTGCAAATGTTCTCTGCAGGAGCTCCCCAAACTGCTGTCCAGAGGCCCTGTTGCCGAAGACCTGAGTGCTTGGCCAATCGCTACTTTTCTGCACACCAATCAGAGTTGCACTGAGTTTTTGCTTTATTTGCATAATTCATTTGCCAATCAAAACTGTTAGGAGTTTTCACCTTATTTGCATGGTGGTTTTAATTGAGGACCATCCTACCGTTTTTCCCTGGTTTGTGCCTGTCAAAGAGCAGCCTTGTGCTTTGTGTGGAGACACTGCTGTCCCAGTTGTTCGGTGTTGCAAGTAAAGCTTTCCCTTGTTTCAGTCCCACCTGGTTGGGTCTCACTCTCTGGCACTCACCAAGCTACAAACCCCTTGTGTCTGGTTACATGGGTGAACCAACCCATCTGTACCTCCATTTAGGACTTCCAGCCTCTGGAAGCCTGGGAAAGTTAGTTTCTCCTATTGAAGTGCCCAGGTTGTGGTCCTTTATTACAGCAGCCCTACCTGACTAATACACTTCCACATTGCTGTGTAACCCATCACATTGTGGCTTAACAACACAGCGTCTCACAGTTCCTGAGGGTCAGGAGCCTGGGCACAGCTTAACTGGGTCTTTGCTTCCTGGTCTCTAGAAAGCCTGCCATCTGGACCAGCTGCCTCACCTGGAACTTAGACTGGGCAAGAATGTGCTTGTGAACTAGTGTGGTGCTGGCTGGATTCATTTCTTTGTGGGCTTTTGGACTGAGAGCCTGTCTCTCACTGCCTGTCAGGCATGTGGTCCCTTCGCCATGGCATCTTGCTCATGGAGGTGTGCAAGCCAAGAGGGTAACAGAGAGCCAGCAAGACCTCACCTTTTGTAACCTAATCCCAGAAGTGCCATCTTTGCCTCCTGTTGGTTAGAAACAAGCCACGAGGGACAGCCCACACTCAAGGGAAGGGGACTATCCTAGGGCGTCCATACCAGGAGTCTCTATGCTGTCCCAGAAGCCTGTGACCACAGCACCCTATCCTGGGGCCCTGCTGGAGGGCTGGCACATGGCCCGGACCTGCGACATGGGCTTTCATCACATCAGGGGACTGGGATCTGAAGGCGTGGGCCTGGGTCTCTAGGTCCCTCCCCTGAAGAGGGCCCATTGTTATCCTCTACTGGGTTTCCATGTACCTGACCGTTTTGGGACGACTGACAGGCTCTGAAAGGCGGAGCCGTGCTTGGGGCCCAGGGCAGGACACTGCATGCATACCCCTATCTGCTCTCTCCAAGCCAACCTACTTCCTGCTCGCGGGCCAGCCAGCTGCCCCTCTCAGCCCCCAACGCTTGCTCACCTGCCTTTGGGAGGTGGCGAGACTGGAGCCAGGCCCCCTCCCCAGACGGCGCGCCCCACTCTTGGCAGGAGCTGCCCACAGGCCCTTGTGGAGCAGGGGTCCTCTCAAAGGGTCCCTTGGCTCCGGCAGTCTGCGGTGGGGCGGTTTGGGGTCAAGGCTGCGGCTCGCTGTACCAGGCCGACTGTCTCGCGGCAGGCACCAACCAGGCAGGTGTTCACCTCCGTGCCAGCCTCCCCTCGGGCTGCCGGTCCGCGGGCGCCCGCCCCCCGGGACCCCTCTCCTCTCCTGGGGAGCCCCGCCCGGGCCGCCCGCAAGAAGGAACAGCACCGCGGGACTCCGCCGACGTACGGGTATTCCGGGTCTGTGCAGAGCTCTCGCCCGCGCTGGGGCACCCCGGCGAGCCCCGCCCTCAGCCCCGCGCGCTCGCTGCGCAAGAGCACCCGCAGGGATCTCCGGCTCCAATACTTCCGGCCCGCCCTTCCCGCGACCCCAAACGTCAGCTGGGGGACCCCTTACGGAGGAGGTCCTTCCCGCCCTGTTCCTCCTCACCCTCTCCGCCCCTTACGCCCATGCCCCGCCCACCCCTACCCGCCTCCGTCGGAGGCTCCTCCCCCAATCCCCGCCCCTTCACAGTCCGGCCCCGCCCCTCACGACCTTGCCCCCGCACATCCCCCTTCACTCATCGGAGGCTCCTCTCCTCCCCACCACGCCCCGCCTCCTCACAGCTCGGCTCCGCCCCTCACAGCATCCCTCTAGCGGCGGACATTTTCCTGGTATACATTTATCTCAGCCGCGCGGCAGCTCTGGTTGGTGAGCGGGCGGGTGCCGGGGGCGGGCCTGCGTTTTGGCCGGCCATTGGTAGAGGTCGCTACCTCTGGCTGTCAATCCTGTTGCCGTCCTTGGCCCCGCCCCGCCGAAGGAGCGTCGCGGGACGCAGGGCCGCGGGGACTGCCGGGACGGGTCTAAGATGGCCGGCCTTCTCGGCTCTCGTCGTGTCCGCTGCCCCGATTCTCATTCATTGCCGCGCTGCTGAGCGGCGCCGTGAGCCTGCCCGAGGAGTCCGCCGGCTGTCTCCGTGGGGCGGGAGGCCGCCATGGCGACCCTGGATAAGCTGATGAAGGCCTTCGAGTCCCTCAAGTCCTTCCAGCAGCAGCAGCCGCTGCCGCCTCAGCCGTCTCAGCCGCAGCCGCCTCAGTCGCCTCAGCCTCAGCCGCCGCCGCCTCCGCCGCCGCCCGGCCCCGCCGCCGCCGAGGAGCCGCTGCACCGACCGTGAGTGCGGCCCGCCGCGGCCCCGCGCGCCCGAACCCACGGAGCGCGCACCCGCCCTGCCCGTCCCCTCGCGCGGGTGTCCGTCCGTCCGTGTGTCCCTCCGCAGGCGCAGCCTCTCCGGCCTCTCCCGAGGGCTCCGAGGCAGCCGCGCCCGCAGCACTCTGCCCCTCCCGGCCTTCGCAGTCGGGAAGGAACTCAGTGCTTTCTGGGGGCGAGAAACGGGCTTTTGTGCGCAGAACTTGGAAGAGCCGAGGCCGCGCGCTGCCCGACGTCCCCGGCCCCTCCCTTCCCGCTGCTGGCGGAGGGCGCGGAGGGCCGGCTCCGCACGCTTGAGGAGCCGGGCTGGGGCTGAAGTGCTAGGGGATGGTGACGGCCTCGTGTCAGGCCGTCGGGGTGCTGCGGACGCGGTCCAGGGGGCCCTTAAATAGCCTGTGGCTCGAGCTGTGTCCGCACTTTCTCCAGGCATTGCGTTTAGTTCGGGAACCGCAGTGATAGCGTCAGGATTTTAAGCACCAGCAGGACACCCGCTTGTCTAAGCTCAGGTTGGCCTGCAGGCAATCGAGTTGTGACTGCCAAGGAAGTGGCGAGCCGCTTAGACGGTTCTTATTAATAAGTGAGGAATAAGTCGACTTAAATATTTGGAAGAATTGACCGAAGTTTATTGCCAGCTTTCAGCTGTAAATAAAAGGCCACCTTGCTGCGGGAGAGGTTAATTGCTGGCGGACGAATGAAGTGCGTTTGCGAGAATTGCAGTTCAGCCTGCTAGAACGTGGGTGTTTGCGGACCCCGGGGCGTCTGAGTTTCCTTCATCGCTGACCTTCTGGGGCTGTTTGGAAGCTAGGGGTCTCTGTTCCTTGTGCCTGGGAGAGTTTTTGAAACAGGAAAAGACGCCCTTAATAGGACCTTCTAACAGAATCCGCATACTTTTCCCTCTTCTTCCTATGCTGAGTGTCCATCAGAGGTCAGGGAGCGCTCTGTTGCAGTTCCGGCCTTTGACCTGGAGGCACTTTATTTCTGATCAGGATGCGTACCGGAGGGCGTCTCGTGAGTACGGTGTGAAGACGCAGCCGATTTAAGCAGCCCACTCTTAGGACTGACTGACTGTTAGTGATGTTTTCTTGTTCTTTCTGTTTCTGATATGATGCTGAGAGTTTAATAAGAAAAGGAGGATTTGGGGATCGATCTTGTCTTATCTGTTAGAATAAAATTTAGAAATAAATTAATATTTCTTTTAAGAGGTGAAAAGCCTGTTTGGATATTTAGAGAGAAAATTTTTTTTAAACAATTTGACGTATCTCTACAGTAAGTCATTTATAATCATAACCCATTCCAGATTTTTATTGTAGTGTCTCTGCAGGAAGTAGATGTCATGGAAATTCACAGATTGCATGAATCTTGTGGGCTTGTTCACCACTTGGTCAGTCTAAAAATACGCCTTCTGTTTCTTATGCTGATTTGACAGAACTGTAATTTGCTTATCTGAAAAATAAGAGCATAAGAGGTTTTCTTCCAAGGCTGGCTTGACAGATTAGAGAGATTTTGTTTCATTATTTAAGGTAATGTATGCTTGACTTATTTTAAAAATATAATCTATTATTTTTGCATTAGTAATACACTAACATGAAACAACTTCCAAAATTACAAAAAGGTAATAATTAAAAAGCCTCCCTTCCGCTCCTTTCTCCTGAGTACCTAACTCCATTCCTAGAGGCTGGCACGTTGTACTTCCTCCTGTGTATGGTTCCAGATACGATCTATGCATGTGTGAATATAGGTTTTAGGTGATTTAAAAACAAGTGTATTTCAGAATAGTGACTTTTAAAGGTTCTTAGCATACTCTGAAATCAGCTGCATTGGACTTTATTATAGTTACTTTAAATAAAATGCATAAGTGTAGTTTTATGTACTTTGCTGTTAGGAAAGCAGGTATTCATTAATTTTGAGTAACAAACTCGCTGCTTGCAAGCTTGGATCTTGGCATTTCTGTTCAGATGCTTCAGCTGAAAAATGGTTCCCAAAGTAAGATTGGCCAAAAGCAATGTAGAAAGTATCTGTTCTATTTTTACGGCTCTTGCTCTCTGTTGTGTGGAACTGTAGTGTCACAGCCATGCGTGGGCTTCAGCTGAAGCATCTGAGTGCCTGCTTTCAGCTCAGCATGTAGGTTGCTGGGGTTCAGGGAGGGACTGGTTCAGGGGCTCAGAGTCAGCAAGGCTGGCACACACAGAAGCACCGAGTCTTGGGCAGGTCCTCGCTGCAGTTCTGAGGCGGTTGACATTTGCCTTTGGCACTTTCTCATTCAGATCCCCACTTAGTTTTCCCTGACTGTATTCATCCATCAATAAATGTCTATGAAACTTCTGATGTGTGCCCGGCACCCTTCTAATAGGTGCAGGACTACAGCAGGGAACAGGTAAAGCTCTGTCCTTGTGCAGCTTTCAGGTTTTTGCGGTGTGTAGACGGTACACAGACAGATAAGTGAGACGGCCAGTATGTCAGTGGTTCATGACGAGGAGCAGCAGGGCCGGGAAGGGAGCCGGGAAGCGCCAGGGTTAATGTGGTGTGGGGATTTTAGGGTGTCCGGGGAAGGTCCACTGAAATGGTGGCTTTTAGGCAAATATCCGAAAAGAGCCAAGGTTATAGCCATGAAGGTGTGTAGAGGAGGGGCATTTTAAACAGGGGGAACAGGTCCAGAGCCCCCCTGTGTGAGGAATAGTAGGAAGGTCAGTTCGGCAGATTGAATTAGTGAGAGGGAGACTCCAAGGGATGAGGTCTGAGAGGTAGAGCACCACGCTGGGTCAGTAGCCCCTTCCTTGGAGGTGGAATAAAGACATTGGCATTTATTCTAAGTGACATGGGACGTCATGGAAGGTTTGGGCAGAGGAGTAGCAGAATTTGAGTTCCATTTTTAAATGAGCTCTGGCTGAGAATAGAGTGAGGGGGTGTGGGCAACAGCAGGGAGCTGGTTAGGACGCTGTTGGAGCAGGCAGGTGGCAGGTGATGGGGCTCTGGCAGGGTGCTGGCAGTGGCCAGCTGAGAGGTGACTGAAATCTGAAGGTGGAACCAGCAGAACTTGTTCATCCCTGGCTGCTGAGCCTAACATAATGTAGCTACAGTTGGTGTTACCAGTTAGGATTCTCTTCAGCTGCAAAGAACAGAAAACCCTGCTGCAGTATCTTAAACAAGTGGGAGTTTATTATAAACAAAAATAGGTCTATTTGAGGAAGTTCATCATTGAGATTAGGGACCTAATCTCTTTTTCTTACACTTAGCTCATAAACTCTTGTTCCTATTCTTTCCCACTTTTTAGGTACTTGTCTTTTTATTGTAACATTTCTTTGTATTGTCTGGATACTAAATCCCTATTGGATACATGATTTGTAAAAATGTTCTCCCTTTCTCTGGGTTGTCTTTTCACTTTCTTGATAGTGTCCTTTGAAGCACAGAAGTTTAATTTTGATGAAGTTCAGTTTCCTGTTTCATCTTTGTAGTGCTTTAGGTGTTATGGCCAAGAAACTGCTACCTAATTCAAGGTTATAGAGATTTACTCTGTGTTTTCTTCTACGGATTTTAGAGTTTTAGCTCTTACATTGCAGTCTGACCCCTCTTGAGTTAATTTCATACATGATATACCGTAAGGGTCCAACTTCATTCTTTTGCATGTAGATGTCACTTGTCGCAGCACCATTTATTTAAAGACTGTTCTTTCCCCATTGAATTGTCTTGATCCCTCTTGAAAACTAATAGCCCATAAATGTCTGAATTTATTTCTGGACTCTGAATTCTGTTCCATTGCTCTACATGTTTATCCTTTACAGGTACTATTACAGTTTTGATTACTGTAGTTTTTATATCACAGTTTCGGATTATGAAATGTGAGTCCTCCAACTTTGTTCTTTTTCAGAATAGTTTTGGCTATTCTGGGCCTCTTGCATTTCCATATTGATTGTACGATCAGATTGCCAGTTTCAACAAAGAAACCCCTGGAATTCTTATAGGCATTGCACTGAACTTGTTGGTCAGTTTTGGGGATATTGTTATCTTAATGCTGTTAAGTCTTTTGACACAGGAATAGTGGCAAACGTTTTATGTAAATGGTAAGATAGTATTTTAGGCTTTGTGGGCCCAATGTCACGTCACCTCCGCCTCTGCAGAATGAAAGCAGCCAGAGGCGGTATATAAATGGATGAGTGTGGTTATGTTCCAGTAATTTTTTGTTAATGACATTGACATTTGAATTTCATACAGTTTTCACATGAAATATTATTCTCTGATTTTTTGTTGTTGTTGTTGTTAACCAATTAAAAATGTGAAAACATTTCTTAGCTTGCAGACTGACCAAAAACAAGCAGGCTGTCGTCTGCCCACTCCTACATTACTGTGACGGGACCACTTTTGGGAAGCATTTCTTTTTTGGGTGCTTTTTATTAACAGTTTAAAAAACTTACAAAAGTTACACGTATACATGGTAAAAATATCTTCAAATAGCAAAAAAGATGAAAAACAAACCCTCCTCCCTGTGTCCTGGTCTCATTCACTAAAAATAACAATTTTTGAATTTATTTTATCTTTCTCCCTTACTTACTTACTTATTTATTAATTATTTTGGTATCATTAATCTACAATTACATGAGGAATATTATGTTTACTAGGCTACCCCTCACATACCTCTTCACAGTCACTGTCCATCAGCATAGTAAGATGCTGTAGAGTCACTACTTGTCTTCTCTGTGTTGCACATCCCTCCCCGTGCACCCCCCCCACATTATACATACTAATCGTAATGTCCCCATTCTTTTTCCCCACCCTTATCCCTCCCTTCCCACCCATCCTCCCCAGTCCCTTCCCCTTTGGTAACTGTTAGTCCATTCTTGGGTTCTGTGATTCTGCTGTTGTTTTGTTCCTTCAATTTTTTCTTTGTTCTTATACTCCACATATGAGTGAAATCATTTGGTACTTGTCTTTCTCCTCCTGGCTTATTTCACTGAGCATAATACCCTCTA